GCTTAGGGGAGGGTTTAGGGTTTAGGTGTGGGGTATCAGGATTGGCAAATTAGCTTAGGCTTCAGGTCTGGGGTGAGGGATTATATAGAGGGTCCTCAAACTTCAGCTATATGGGAGAGACTAGCAGGCTTATATAGACTAGTAGGATTATTGGTTCTGCCTCGGGCACCGCCGCTGTCGTGGAAGCCGATGCTTGGGAGCCGTTGTCAAGCCTTAAATTCACGGGGTTTTCCGTAGAAAGCTCGACGACATATTTGTTGGTGAACTAGCATTGACAACACCTCTACATTAATGGCCAGGCTACTCGAAGCTTCGAAGACGGTTCCACCAGCCCTTGTACTTTACCACCTCCTCTTCGGAAAGTTGTGGCAGTTCACAATCGGAGTCCTTCTGCACCTGCAAATTGAGGATCCCCCATGACATATAAATGCAAGGATTAACATTGGAACCTAAACCCATTATTAAGTTACCGGGCTGGCCTTCCTAGCTCCACGACCCTTTGCAGCCGGTTTCGGCACTTGCTTCTCCAAGGAAGCAGCAGACGTGTCGGGAGGCGAGATCGCCTGCCCAGCAGCTGGTTTATGAATTAGGAGATAGGTCGCATGGGCACTATTATAATACCGGACAAGTGTCGATCTGTTGCCTTGGGTTGTGTTCTCTATCTCTCTCTCGCTCACTGTAAATAGGCATGTACGTATGTATGTATGTAGGCATGTACGTATGTATGTAAGTGTGTATGTATGCATGCATGTGCGGGTCATGTGCATTATGCATGTATCTATATGAATCTGTGTATGCTTTTGCCAACAAACCACCTTGCAGACACGACCTTCCAGGCTTTCGTCCGTGAAGGAAGCAGCAGAAGTCAGCAGCGACAAAGAACGAACCGGTGTGTGTGCCTTCAACGCAGCATTCGCATCCTCAACGCTTGCTTTGGCTAGCTCCTCCTTCATCGCCAGCTCCTGCATCTCCTTCATTTTCTCAGCCACGACCTGCCGATCCTTTGCCTCTTGCAACTTTCGGGCCCGAACCTCCGCCTTGCGCTTCTGTTCCTCTGTCTCTCGTGCTTTCTGCTCGGCAGCCATCTGTGCCAGGCGTTCGGCCTCATTAAGTTCCTTCGCCTCTGCTGCCAGACGCTCGACAGCTTCAGCCTCCTTTCGCTTCCGTTCCTCTGCCTCTCGTTCTTTCTGCTCAGCTTCAGCCGCCACGCGTGCCTGGATTTCGGCTGCCAGGCGTCGCCCTGCCTCGGCAGCTTCGATGGCCCTCTGCTCTGCTGCAGCCCTCTCTGCCAAGAGTTCCGCTTCTCTGCGTTCCTCGGCCTCTCGTGCTTTCTGCGCTTCAGCCTGTGCCAGGAGTAGAGCGTCCCTGCGCTTCTGTTCCTCAGCCTCTCGTGCTTTCTGCTCCGCAGCAGCCTTCTGCGCGAGGAGTTCCGCCTCCACACGCTTCTGTTCCTCGGCCTCTCGCGCTTTCTGCTGAGCAGCAGCCTGTGCCAGGAGTTCCGCCTCCCGCCGCTTCTGTTCCTCGGCCTCTCGTGCTTTCTGCTCGGCAGCCAAACGTGCCAGAACTTCGGCCTCCACACGCTTCCGTAGCTCGGCCTCTTGTGCCTCCTTACGCTTCTGTTCCTCTAGGGCCTCTCGTGCTTTCTGCTCCGCAGCCTGTGCCAGGAGTTCGGCCTCCTTACGCTTCTGTTCCTCTCGAGCCTCTCGTGCTTTCTGCTCGGCAGCCTGTGCCAGGAGTTCGACCTCCTTGCGCTTCTGTTCCTCAGCCTCTCGTGCTTTCTGTTCAGCAGCAGCCTTATTCTGTGCCAGGACGTCCGCCTCCCGGCGCTTCTGTTCCTCTAGAGTCTCTCGTGCTTTCTGCTCCTCAGCCTGCTTCACAAGTCTCCGGACACCCTCTTCCTTCCGCTCCTGCACTGCCGCAACCGCTTGATCTGCCAGCTTTTCAGCAAGCCGTGCTGCTTTCAGGGCTGCCTCCAGCTCAAAATCATGATCCTCGTCTTCGCCCTCCACCTGCTCAAAAGAACGCAGCAGATCCTTGTCCAGCGAAGACAGATCGGCAACACTGCTGGTGCGGCCAGGGAGTACATGTGTAGTCGCATCAGAGTGCACTGTCTCGACACTGCCCATTCTGGCAAAGTCTGGCGTGCCATCCCACTGTTGCGTGTCAGCTCGTGACGGATCCTGGCTAGCAGCATCGACTAGAGTGTCCTGGACGGGGGGTGCCTTAAGGATGCCGGGAAGGCGCACCATAGTGCTCTTCGGGGAAGCACCAGAGGCCGGCAGCACAGCATCCTGGAACGTGACCTTGGGGGGTGACACTTTCTCGGCACTCTGCGGGCTGGGGGCTTGCACTTTGGGCGAAGGTGTCACCGGGTCGCTTGGAGTAGTCGAAGCTGTAGTTGTTGGGGTGCCCGCTGCCTGTGCTTTCGTAGTCGGTGTTTTTGCTGCCGGTGCTTTCGCGGGAACTTTCGGTGTTTGTGGTGCCGGTGCTTTTGCTGTCGGTGTGTTCGCGGTCGGTGCTTTCGCTGCTGGTGGTGTCTTCACTGCCGCCTCTTTCGGTGTTGTGGCCACACCCTGACTCATCAAAGCAGACCTGAGATGTTTACTCTGTATCTTTCTTTCTCTCTCGCTCGGGTTCAGGACGGTACTTTCTGTGTAGGCACATGTGTTGTACATATAATATTGCATAGACACTATACGTTCGTATGTGTGTTCGTGCAGCTGCACTTACATATGTGTGGTGTGTATGTTTGAATATGAGTACACAGCTATACAGGCACACGGCAATCACATCTGTGTTGTATATATTTAAAACACGTACAGACATATATATATATATATATATATTACATGACATATATGCCCGTACATCTATATAGTGGGTTCGTCTATACATGTATCGACATACCTATCTACTCATATATATCCATCACACACGTGCATGTGTCATCTTCGCAGGTTTTCGAACCTCGTACCACAATATAAGTACTTGCTACGAACCGCACGAAGTTAATCTTTGGGGTTTGGGTTAGTTAATATTCGGGTAAGGGCTTTAAGGCATTAAGTTGCATAAGAGCCACACACGCTGCTTGACTAGCTCCTGCTGTGCGGCGCTCAGGCCGAGGGCAGCAAGGCTCACACCAGCGTCGATGGATGCAGCCGCTTTGGCATGATCCTGGATGATATACGGTTTAGGGATCTATAAGGAATCTTAGGGAAAGGGGTATCGGACTGTATAAGCTTAGGAACAGCCTTCGGTACGGCTTCAGCCGGCGGCGCGCCAGCTTTTTTCCCCATGGGTTGTTGCCCAAAACACAAAAGAAGGCTCGAAAGTACTGAGCCGGCAAGGGTCACTGGACAGCACAACCTGATTCGGAAGCTGCACACTCACAACTGGATCGATTATCTCAGCTACAGATGACATTCGGTATGCTGAATTGCAGATGACTAGAAATCTGTACTTTTTGACGCTTTTTGACGCTTTTTGACGCTTTTTGACGCTTTTTGACGCTTTTTGACGCTTTTTGACGCCCTGCCTGGTTGGATGCCGTGACCTACCCATGTGGGTTATTTTTGTACTTGGGGACTGCCGAGCTGATAACTTAGGGGTGTGGGTGCTCGGGCTACATATTTCCGGGATGCACCTAGTAAACCATAATGGTACAGGTACGATATCAAGCTTACAGAAACGGGTTCGGCCACCCAGCTGGCAGCACCACCCTCCCACTGTACATCATCCAGCTAGCCACGCCATGTAGGCCATCCTCGGGCAGAAGTTGTCACAGCCCGTGCAGTAAAGCCAAACTAGGAAAGAATAGAAATTATTCGGTAGCTAGGGTTCAAAGATCGGATAGGGTTCTATATAGACATCCTCGGGCAGAAGTTGTCACAGCCCGTGCTGTGCAGCCGAACTAGGAAAGAATAGAAATTATTCGTCTAGGGTTGAGTGATCGGATAGGGTTCTTACAACAGGCATTTAGGGTTTAGGGTTTAGGGTTTAAGTTTAGGGTTTAGGGTTTATATAGTATTGGGGGCATGTGAAATGCGATGTAGCACCGCAGAATTTGTGCTCGCAACAGACTAGACTGGTAATTAGTACTTGGACATCTGTACTTGCAACGAAGTACAGTCTAGCAACAGCAGAAATTGTACCTGGGAATCTGTATTCGCAACAGGAGAAATTGTACTTGGGAATTAGTACCTGGCAATCTGTACTTGCAAACGAAGTACCATCTAGCAACAACGGAAATTGTACTTGGAAGTCTGTATTCGCAACCAAAGAATTGTACTTGGGATGCACTTGTGTACATGAACACATCCATCTGGGCTTAAGGTTTAGGGTATAGCTAGGCATATGCGTACATGTGTATGTATGTATGTATGCATGTATGTATGTATGTATGTATATATATATATATATGTATGTACACAAATATATAAATATGTGTATATAGATATATAAGTTTACATGTGCATGCATGTGTACATGTATATATACATGTACACCCTATATATATATATATGTGTAGATATATACATATATATATATGGAGTGCAAAAGTCAAAGCGGTCGAATACATAAGTATGTATACTAATATATTAGTATACATACTTATGTATTCGACCGCTTTGACTTTTGCACTAATATCATATACTATCATATAAGATCTTATATGATATTATCGATAATATAGAACATAGTAAAAATCTTAGGCGAGCGGCTGCTTCGTTCCAGTCGATCGGCTGCGAGAACAGCTCCTGGATCTCCGACGCTTCGT